TTTTTCGATGAGGAATCACCTCCTTGATGTTTTACACTCATTCAGTTACACCCTGTATTACATTTATCTATTCGTTTCATGTGATCGTTAATAAAAATAAATATTCAACCTTATTTATCTATTTCCTTTATCTATTCTAAGAATATACTGATCTGTCAAAGTCATAGGGGCCCCATTATCCATTATGCCCTGGGCCTCATATAGGTTAAAGACGCCCCTGATTACGATCAATATATAATAGCCATTTTTTATAATGGACTGTATGGGTAATAAATATAGAATAAATAAATGAATAAATAAATCAAGTAGTTATTGAATTCTACACGACTTCTTATGAGTTTGATCTGACCAAGTGAATTCAACTCCTCGCAATTTCAGTACATGAAATTTTTCTAAACGAGTGTACTACAAGTGACTGCTTGTGGAAAACTACTAGCTTCTGTTAGAATTGTAATTATATTTCCATATTTTCATATCGTGATTTGGTCGAGAACAAAACTCAAGTTGTTTTAGGTAAATGACTCATCACAGTATCAGTTTCAACTGCCATTTGATCCAGAAATAACTGAAATCATATCTGATATAAGGTTGTTTGTATGTTGAACTTGAACTAATGAACTCAAAAATATTTCCGATCGACCATTGATCATTGAGTGGAATAAGTGTTTCCAAAACGTGTGATTCCTAACACAGTTGCAGAATCATCCCAGCTTCAACCAGATAAATTATATCGAGAAAAATATCTGGTCGAGGCAGGAATCGAACCCACGACCTTCCGATCGTGAGTCGGGCGCACTACCACTGTGGCCTATTCCACACATTGGCACATTGGCACATTTGATTTCTCCAAGAGCGGTACATATCACAAATACGCGACGGACTATGGCTACTCATCGTTTTGAGGTTCACCTCAGTACACCTCGAACTCCACTCTCTAAGAACTCTTTCATCTGGAGAACTGCGTTTATGTGGAATAAACTTCCTGAGAACGTTTTACCAAATGAATTCAATCTCCAGCGATTTAAATCCATTGTGAATCGCTACTTTCGCACAGGCACCGTTCTGATAGCGACTCAAGGGTTTTCCTGTAATGCTTTTGTTTTGTCCTTAAGAAAAAGATAATATGACATTTTTTATGTTGAGCGTAAAAAAATTTTTATCAGTCCACTGTTTTTCTGTCACAAAATCTACCGCTGAGCATGAAAATGACCTGTCAACACGGGCACTGTTAGTCTGACTCTACTTCGTGCTTGATAAAAAAAATCATTAATTCTGAGCTCGCTGGGTCAGTTATTATATGAATTTATATTCATTTTGATTAGGTATTTTGTTTTGAATTCTACTATTTCGGAGTTCCATTGTCTAATATGACTCTAATATGATTCGAAATCTATGAAATAACAAATAAAGTTAGAATGAATAATGAATGTGAAATGAAAATGAAATAAAACGAATAAAATAGAACAATCAAGATCTAACAAAGTGTCTTTAGACACTTATTTTACAATTTTCATCACACTAATGCAAGCTATAGATACTCATATACTTTCTGTTATCTGTTCAGTTTTCAACATTAACACGCTTTTATCAGCTTTACTTGAATGTATGTATGTATGTTTGTTTGTTGGTCTCAAGCTTGGGATCAGTGTTTGACAGAATTATCGACATTATTGCTTGATCTATTCGTGGGCACATGGCGCTGTACGTAACCTCCTTGATATAATTCGAACTCACTTTACATGTATTTCTTCATTTGAAAAAAGTATTTTTTATTGGCACGCGCGCCTGCTGCCTTATTTTCAATCCTCCTCTTTGCGAAATATAAAAGGTTTTGAATTATCGAGCTACTTTTGCAGAACCTCATTAGAACCTCGCAATATATTCCAGAACAGGACTGAAATGTGAACAAATTAATTTTAAAAAGTATTGTGTTGAAAAAGATTTTGAAATTTGTGGCATATCCTGCAAAATGGAAAATAAGACTATAATCTTTTTACATGTTACCGCTCACCTAGCGGTAACATTGATGTTTTTTTAGAAAATATTTTAAAAGTATTGGAGCAGGTATATTCTCCTCATGTAAACATCACTCTATCTGGAGATTTAAATATTGGCTCTTCTATCAGTTCCAGGGATAGTGCACATTTTAGTAAGCTCACACATATACTTGATAGTTTTAATATGGCACCCGTCGTGAACTGGCCTACGAGAGCCTACATATCATTCTGCGACTATCATTGATCACGTATTCACTAACGTAGTTGACTCGGTGGTTTGTGTCATTGACAATGACTTGTCTGATCATCGTACGGTATTGTTCGAGTTTCCTGAACAGAAATCAGAAAAATGTAAACAAACCTTTTAAATCAATAATTTCAATAATGCTCTCACAAAAAAAAATTGGAATGAGCTGTTCAAGTACTCAAGCCTTGAACCATCTTTCAGTGCATTTATAGATGTTTTTCTATTTCATTTCAATACTCATTTTCCTTTGAAAAAATATTTTGATAAGAATAATGACCAGAACAAGAAGTGGATAACAGGCGAAATTAAGAAATCTAGTATAAAACTGAAGGATTTACACCATCTTAAAAAATACTACCCTCCATCAACANAATAGCTAGAGAGCTAGAGTTCCTAGTACACATTCCTGTAGGGACCTTTTTGAACATTTAAGAATTTTGACCCTCATGTCTGTCTATATTTATGAATTATCCGTCTTTATTTTTGAAAATGGACAAAAATTTGTTTTGACGGGAGATTTTTACTCCGTGGATACACGCCAAAGAAAAAATTACCACATTCCATTCACAAAATATAAGGTATCTGACAGTGCTCCTACAATTAGGGGTCTGTCTGTTTACAATCATTTACCCAAAAATATAAAAGAAGCCAAATGTTTAAAAAAAATCAGTAGCTCCCTCAAACAATTCCTGACTGAAAAATGGTTCTACTCGTTGGAAGAATATTTTAATGGCTAGTTATATCATGAGTATATAAGTGTAAGTGTGTGTGTGTATATGTATTTTTATGTCGACCTTTATATATATTTATTCTTAAATGACTGTAGTCTGTTTAAGTGCATTATATAATGACCATTCCTATACATTTTATAGGTCTTGTGGGAAAATAAATATTATTATTATTACTATTATTAGACTAAAAAACACACTTTCAAAGAACATCGAAACAACATTGAAAATATTTTTTTTAATAAGCTTAAAACAATAACGAACGATAAATACTATTCTTATTGTGAAAAAGCATGGGCGCTTTGTGCAATATTTTTTGTATATCAAGCGCCCGTCGCTTTTTTCACAATGATTCTGGTATTTTTCGTTCGTTATTGTTTCAAGCTTATTTAAAAAAAATATTTTTAACTTTTCAGTTAGATGTTCTTTAAAAGCGTGTTTTTTAGTTTTTCAAATTATATTCATTTTATGTATTTATTGAATTGTTTTTCGAACTGAAAATATTTTCAATGCTGCACTTCGCTTTCATAAGTCCGTTTCAATAATAGTTATAATAAAATCTCCTTCTGAAAAGTAAATTCCATTAAAAACTGGTTTGTAGTGTTTTAAAGAAAAAATGTCATTTCTTGCTACTGATACTATTTATTCATTCACATAATCACAAGCATTTCTCAAATCGTACACTTTTTATTTTTCCAAGAATCCATCTTCTTTGAAGTAGACTTTAACTTCTTCAAAACGGAAATTGGGGATTTCATTCCAGAGTTTATCAAATTTGATAGATCTGTCCAGTGGGAAACCCCAGGGATAGGTATCAAGCAAAATTGCATTCAGATTATGGGTATATTGATTAACATCCTTACTGTATGGATAAACGGCAAAGAATAGTTGATAGGGGGTTCCACAGACGCTGCCTCTGGGTAACATAAATCTGTTAACAAAAAAATTTCAAAACTATATTCAACAATTCCTTATCATTTGACATCCATGCAACAGAATAAGTGGGTAATACCATTCAGCAATATAAAAGTCATTAATTTGCATATATGCTACCATCTAACTGGGGCAAACGGTTCAATAAACCTTCCATAATGAAAATGACAGTATTACTAAATTTTCAGGTTAGTTCAAAATCAAACTTTCACATTTCTAACAATGTGAAATGCCATCAATATTAGTTGTAATCTAAAGCAATGCAAGATTACGATTCAATTCAAGATGATGATAAATCAACATTTGAAGATGAAGATAAACTTTCCTAATTCATAAGACCTCCAAACCAAAAGAATAGATAACGTCAAGTACATTCATCATAGGGATAGTTCCCATGACTAAAGCGGTCTTAGCATGGTCTCAGCACATTTCCTAGCGTTTTCTTGAGGTCGAAGTTGTTCACACTCCATGCTAAGTATACTAGGAAGATAAAACTTTTCGTTTGAGTACTGCACAATCACGACTTGCCCAATCATCATCATCTTTGAGACGGACACATATATGACTAGCCAATATTTCTCACTGATGTACATATATAATCTTCCACTACCCATAAAAATGAATATAGGTTCTTTCAGATGAAACCAAAGCCCAAACTTGATAAGTGGAATTTGGAACAAAATGTAGGATGTCTCCAGAGGCTCCAATAAATTCATAACACCGCCAGAACACTTCGTGACACGAATATTGTCAAACTTAAACCAGTCCGTTTCGTATTTGTCCAAGGCGTAATAATGACCAGAACCACAGTGAACAATGACTGCATAAAGATTATAATAGTGGTCTGCTAGATTGAAGTGTACATCTATTTCGAACTTTCGTAAGAGTTTGATGCATCCGTCAGAGGTTGACTCATGTTTGAAGATCATCAGTGTCATTAATAAATTGACTGGGGCCTCAGCTATACTTGTTATCTCATAATAGTCGGTTAGTTTGGCGCATGCTTGACAATACAGTTGATCATCACCCGTTACAAGTTCCATTTTCAGATGATTGGACAATAAGCTTTGCACGGACTGGTTATCAGTCATATTAGGAAACGATAGTTGAAGTTCCAGAAAATCACATAAGTTTTTGCTACTCTCGAACATTTACTACAAAGTAAACAAGTGAGGATTTTTCTAGCAAAAGATCTATAAACACAAGACGAGATATACTGTATGGAATCATTCAATCCAGTGTGGTCAGAAGTATTGATTCTGCCATTTGTTTGCTCACGAAGAGTATTCAACAAGAACCCGAAGAAATCGGAGCAATCCTCTTGTTGTCCTAACGAGTATCTAGTGAAAAATGGCTTAACAAATGTTTTCATATGAATACTGTACGTACGCTACATAAAACTATATTTAAAAAGTCAATACTTGCCTTTGTGGAAATCCATACCAATTCTGTCTCAGGTCAATATTGAAATCTTTGACACCTTTAAGGGCCGCTACAGTATTTTGGTAGAGGTCAAGGTATGAGACTTTATCTGGAGAAAAGAATAGGTTATCCTCAGATTTTCTAGAGATGACATTTTCTCCAACTTGAAGGTTAGCAACAAAGTTATCAAACTGGTAGAAGTCGAGATGATTATCGCTAATTTTAACTGGTCTACCCTCTCTGTCATACTTTGGTCCAAGGAACACTTTCACGCTGACTTTTTGTGGTTTGTCCGATTTCACATGAATTTTAAATTCGAAAGGAGCATGGTTTAGACGAGGTTGCCCAACACGGACTTGGAAGTCGCCATATGATTCTTTTGGGCTGTAAAATACTGAGTTGACTAGATCAGAGTAGAATGTTTCATTGTATGTAATGAGATCATCCACTTCAGCTTTGGTAATTTCAACTCCTGGGAACAAAAGGCCTTGTTTGGTGTATGGTGGAACTTGCTGCAGGAATCTTTGGTATGGAATCATAACAAGTTTCTTGACGAGTACGTAGAATACTGGATCTCGCAATGAGGTTTCAAAATGCTCTAATGCCGATGGTAATATCTCGTTCTGATCCAATTGCTGAGTGGAATAACCAAGAAGGTGGCGCGCAAAGAACCATATCGAACCGTAATATTGATGGTTCGGAGAATCATGATTGCCTTCTATGATATTTCCAAGCACATTGATGAATTGCTCGGATCCCATCTCAACCATTCTCCCTTCAGATTCCTGAAACAAATGAAATCCATCACTGTCGCTTGAGAAACCTTCTAATTTTTATTTCTTTTCAGTTTCTACGTTTACGTTATTTCATGAATTATCTTTTATATCCCCTGTGAAAATGTTATGCCTATAAACGAATTATTCAAATAATTCGACAAGAATCTAGATGGAAATTTGTCAATGTCTATTATATCGAACTTTTTTTGTTTCTCATAATCATAGTACAACAAGTATACTTACACTCCATATCGCACCAGCTTCGATAGCCTCAACAATACGTCTTTCAAAATCATTTACGAATGTGTAGCTGTAACCAGGGAGACTTGACTTCCACCCAGATTGTCCATAGTTGAAAAAGTATTCATGTAACTTCGCGAATTTTGGTCTGTTGGGGAAAGGCACGGCATTGGGGTATACAAGGTTTGAGTGGTAAGAAGTTTTGACTGGTAGATCCCAACTGAGGAATTCCATCTCATCGAATCCCAATGCAGTTCGTTCAAGTTGATAACGTGCCAAAATATTCTGTTGGAAAAGATAGTAGAGGGCTCCTCTCGTGAAGCGGCTCCATCCAAATTCTGTCGAATTCATCCAAAAAGGGAAATTTATGTGCAAGTAAAATAAGAAGCTATTGACACCCACATCTTCGAGATAATACGCAAGAGCAGTTTGTTCACGATTCAAATTCAGGTGGTGGTGGGAATAATCAGAATCAATAGTGTATCCGTTAAAACCCTTTTCTTCGCGGTGTTGCTTAGGACTTTCATGAACCTGTTTGTAATATTGAGCTTTCTCAATGACATCAGCACTGAAGAACAAGTGAGGAGAAACCTCATGAATCGGAGGGAGCATGATTCCTTTGGTATCAGATCGGTGAACAACCGCTACATAGAGGCAATAAGTGAATAGACCTTCGTTCACATTCATTCTAGCCCAAACAGCAGTCTTGTAGAAAACATCGTAGTCTTTGGCAAAGTAAAGCAGTTTACTTAAAGCAATGGCTTGATTCAAATGATCCCTGTTAAAAATGGAAAATATCGCTCCTTTGGCAAGTGGTGTATATTCCCAGAGCTCACGGAACTTTTCAACAACGTCATCTTTCTGGAATGAGAAAATCAATGTCACACAATAGTATATCTGATGTGGTTTTGCACAGTTCTAAGTTTTGTTCAAGTATTGAAAAAACCATACAAGGGAAGTGTTAGCACTCACTAGGTAAAGGTTTTCATGACCCTCTGCTAACGGGGAGAAACTCCTGGAAATCTCGATATGTTCCGGTATCAGGGATTTTTGTTTCAAATGAAGCAGAAGGTGAAGAATTTGTTTCTGTCTTTGCAACAGAGTATGATCAGCTGAAATCAAATTTAATATGTTTGATTACTCAGTTTACTCAGTTCAGATGTTCTAAACTCAAAATAGGTTACATAAACATCAATATTTCATTTGGAGTTTTTATCAGAGGTACGATTTTTTCAGGGACAAATTATTGAGAATTTTTATCTGTTCGTCTCTTTATTTGTATAGGCTCAACGGTTCAACCGATTTGAGGATATTTTTCACTAATTCACTCGTATGTTAGTAGGCTTTACTCAATATTCAGTTCGCTTCATGATTTAAAAATGTTATGAGAATGCGGTTCACTTGATTCTTCTGACACTTTTCTCAACTACAATTAGAGTTTGTAAAACGATTTTCTTATAAATCATGAGAACTTGTTGCTGCTTGAAAACCTGGGTAAACCCAGGTTTTCAAGCAGCAGGTAAGTCAATTCGAATGAAGTCACTGGTAAGTGCTAGTCTCCAAAATGGATAACAAATGAAATTAACAAGGCTAATGTCATCTATTGATTCAAATGAAAATAAATATTCAGTTGTCAAAGTTATGTAATCGTCTGTAATTAAAAAAGAGAATGTTGACTTTCCATTGATTGCTAAGATAGTAAGGTTCTCAATAGACAGAAAGACAAATTTGGAGAGTTTCGTTTGAAGGAGTCAGTGATCTTTTATGTTTTGATACCCCCGTAATAATTGTTCCATGACTTTGACTCATATATGTAGCATTATAGTTGGAAGATGAGCTGCTAAGTTTGTATATACTAGATTTCTTGTTAGAGTTGAATTCATTTCGAGTGCTGCCTGAACTTCAGAATGAGAATTGTCAGAATGAAGTAGTCGAGATTTCATTATATTTTTTCAACAAAATCGTCTAACTCCACTTTGAGTATGGACCCTATCCTACGTTAAGTGGGATTGATTTCGTCAAAGTGGCATTGTTGAAACACCAAGAGAACTGAGTTACCCAGGATGGAAAAGGGAAAGAGGACGTCAACACCAATAGTAACTGGATAATATTAGAAAAAGATGACATATGATAATTTTTCTTTCAGATTTTCTACATACAAATGAAATACCATACATTTTTTATAGTGTACAATTTCTAATAGTTTTTGGACTCATCGTATTGTAAGCATTCCCATTTAAATGAATATTTGTAACCATTATGATGTTTTGAGATTAATTTCACACTGTGTTGAAGTGTTTAAAGAATATATGACACTACACAGTGGATGTCAATTTATCAATAAATCCATCTTCATCTTTCAGTCTTTCGGTAGGAACAGTCCATGCAAGATTAGGACCCAGTGGCTTCTACGGCCTGATGACTTCGACAATTGCGGAACTAGCCGAATGTTACACCAATGCTCAATCCTTGAAGAGATGGGATGGAATCAAAGGATGCAATCTTGCCAGGATCACCCTGGGCGACCTTGGGAAGCTGGCGCCGAAGAAATATCTGGCGATGACCAGTTAAAATATATGCTTAACAGCAAGAGTTCTGAATGGTCACTGTCAACTAAGGAAACACCTCCATAATATGGGGCTAGTGAACACACCTCTATGCAGGATGTGTGAACAGGAAGATGAAACTGTCAGGCATGTCCTATGTGAGTGCCTGGAGTTATCGTCAATAAGAGAGTGTGTGTTCGGCGAGTCTTGGCCTACACCTGCCGATATAAAGGAGATGACCCATTGACCTGTCCACCTTCGTGGAATGGACAGGATGGACGATAACCTGGGAGGATGTACAATGGGTCACATGTGGCCTAAGTGCTGTGGGCTCACATTCCCCCCCCCTTCTCTATAGATACAGATACAGATCCTTGCAAGATGAACAAAATCGATAAAATTTGTTCAAAATACTTGTCATGTGAGGAGGAGAAACAGGTAGCTTTAGCTGTTGCCCCCCTTACAAACGGCAACCCTCAGAAGTCTAAAATTGGTCAAGCCAAGAATTAACGAGGTATTATCTTTTTAACGTGCGATTTCTCGTATTAGTCATGCGAAAAGCAGTGGAAACATTCAGTTGAGATCGAAAGAATATTCATATTGCAGTTGATTAGATGAATAAGAAGAACAACTTACTAATATTTATCATTACGTGATAATCAATTCAATCTGTATCTTTATTCACCAGATATATTTCAAGATTGGAAAATATGGTAAAATCCATAACTCTTATATAATTTAAACTCTCTCATCAGCGCGAATGTTTTTGTAGTTTTCGTTGATATTGCTATCAATCATTTTAAAATGATGTTATCAACGAGGGTCTATCCCATACTCCTGATCATTATTTGAAATAGTATTCATACCTTTTATTATCACCTCAGGCACAGTAGAAGTTACGAACGGATCCAGGATAACTAACATCCACACATATGAATTCCTAGAGCTAACGTATTCAAAAAACATTTCATTGGGGATTATCACTAAACAGTTTTACAAAAACGCAACACCTGTTTTGGATACAATGGCTTCTTCGGACGTGTCTTTACCAGTTGAGAGATTTTTTTTCTATTTGTGATTGATTACTGATTTGATTATATCGATACCCCTTACCTTTTCTAATATGTGTCTTCTTAACTAGTTCAGGTATTTGATCTAGAGTAATATCTTGCTCGACGGACCGCTCATTATCCTTCTTATGTCCATGAAAGTGACCTGATTTAACATTCCCTCCATGTCCATTACCAAGACCGAAGTGGTTACTTTTGATTCCATTATAACCTGTAAAATAAAATGATGAAATTCAATGTGTCGTCATGTATAGTTGACATGGGATTGCCAACATATGGAAAGGTTGTTGCGATAATAAAAGTGGCAATCTTGCACCTAGAATATCCAAGAAACTCAATATAGACAAGTCAAATGAAAACATTTCAGTACATCACTATGAATATTCCCAGAAGATGGTTCACAGAAATAATTCCAGAGCTGCCCATTCCATTCTGGATGCCTACATGTCATCTGAGAAGATCAGAGAAACATCTCTTGATACATACCTATTGTGTTTTCATTTCATTTTGAAATATTTTCGAAATCAAAAATAAATCACAATCAACTTTTGATAGGTTACATCGGGATATTGAAAAAAGTCATTTTCTGTGGAAGAAATCGGGAGCAAACTTTTTGAATACAAGTTACTGATATATACTGATAAAACATTTTTCTTTGTGGAAAATGAAAAAATACTTCGAATATTTTATTGAAGTAATACTTATATGTGAAATTTTCACTGAACAGTTTTCAAAACGGCAATACAATAGCTTCCTCATACGTATATGTATTAACACGCCTGAGGAAGCTTTCATATAGCGAAACACGTGTAGCGGTTTTGTAAACTGTATAGTGGAAATCTAACAATGAAGTGTAACTTGAATAAGTTTTGAATTTTCAAGTATTGGCCAATTCCATCACATAAGGTGGATATTCCCAAAAAGATCAATAAAAAAAGTTAATTTGAACAACATAAAATTATACGTTTGAGTAAATCAGTAAGAAGGAATTATATCAAATATCTTTGAACGTGAAAACCATAATATAAGAAACGATTGTCATATCCATTCTTTAAATTGAAATTATGTGAACATATAGTTGTCGTTGAGAGAGAAATTAAGGTGAAATCTTATTTTCCCTTCGAAATAATAGATTAACTCTGATTTATCTTTCATACAATTCGAATAAATATCATATAAAGCAACTCCAACCCAAATTGAAATTGCAATCAAATAAAATATAATTTTTGATATGTGTCAGCTCTACGTCAAACCTAAATTGGGTTGTTGAGTTTACACTTTAGCTAACTTTTCATCCTTTCCTCACTAGAAATGTGTACCATTGCAAATCAGTGTACTTGACATATTATTATTATTATCAAAAGTATCCATGTACTGTAAACATGTAGAACAATATTCATAGGTTTCATTTGTACAACAGAATTAAAAAAATAGAATAAAAATTGTGTTATTATCAAAATATTTGAACTTACCACCACCATGTCCGGAGGTGAACGCAATAGTGGCAAAAGATACCAGCAAGACAAATGAGATCTTCATGTTTGTTTCGTGAACAAACTGAATCTGAAGGGAGTATGAATTCTTCACCTTTTTATAGTTAACTTTTATCCCGTTGTATCATACCACATTGACCCCCACTGACCTTTATTGTCGTGTTTTGCAAAAGAAAACATTATTTAAGAAATATCTGTTACCGATATGATAAATCCAATTAAATTTTTGTTACTGGCAATACCTATCAAATGCATTTATTTATAGAATTCATGATACTGTATTGAATAATCTGTAGATCCCGTAAGAGGACAACAGAACACTCGTACTTTCTCCTGTCATCATATTCAATTATTATTTCAGATGTAATTCACCTTCTCCATTAACAGGGTGTTATTAAAATATGTGGCAAAAATTTCAAGTGACTTGGAGCAAAATATGAAATCCATCTTGAAAGTATATAGATGTATATACAATTTTTCAAAAATATTCGAGTATAACCAAAAACAAAAAGTCCAATAGAGTTGAATCTCATGCCCTGTCAGGTCATCTAATTGGACCATTTGTGGTAATATATTTTCTATGATTTTTTTAACAGTCCGTCATTGTTCTACTGATTGTCAAAATCCTGACCTAACCCAAATGCAACATTGTTTGCTAATAATAATAATAAGTCTCCTGGAGACTTCTAACAGTGTCTCTGGAAGGGGACACCTGTCCATATAGCCTGAAGAAGCTGTTGTATAGCGAAACAAGTGGGAAAATCTCACAATGAAGTGGTTTTTGAATAAATTATAGATTTTCATCAAGTATCGGCTAATTCCATCAAATATTTTCAGAGTATCTCCTATAATAGCTCGATACTACCCTAGTAACCGCAGTATAAGTTTTATTTTTGAAAATTGAGATTTTTTTAATATTATCCAATAATTTACGATTAGGTGATTCGAATAAAAGTATTATTTTGGAATGAAAATATTCACTGAAAAGTAAATTACTCCAAAGAAACTATTTTTTAACTGTGAATTTGCCAACTCATGGTGAAAAAAATGTATAGAGATCATTAGTATTAGCCCCTCATAATAACCCACATGTTAAACATTCCAAATGGGAATGATAATCGAGCAACACTTTATTTAAATGAAAATAGGGAATTGAAACTTTTTATGTTTTTTACCACTTTCATTTGTAACTAACGTTACTGCAGTTGTCTCTGATCAGGATTCCTGGCCATACCTGGCCTGGAAAGCAATGAGGCTGCGGATTTCCTTTCAAAGGAAAGTGCTGCAAGCAGTTTCATCGGACCAGAACCTGTCATTGGCATCGCTTTAGGCTTTGCCAAACAAACATAGAACACCTGTATGGCAAGAAGATATATAGACTTCTGGCAGAATCTTACAGGATTAGCTCACTCCAAGGCGTTTATTCACCCTTCGAAGCTTGATACCAAACAGTTGTTGGACTACAGTAGGAATGAACTACGATGTCTAACAGGCCTTTTCAAAGGTCACTGTTGTCTGAATCATCACATGTAGGGACTCGGACTGTCGGAGACAGTGTGTGTCGCCTCTGTTTCAAAAATGATGAAACAGCAGAGCACATACTCTGTACCCGCCCCGCTAGGGACCGTATCTGGTTTCGGCAGAGCCGTACTCTTACCATCTGACCTGAAAAACCACTCACCATACAAACTAATCGGCTTCGTTAAGAAGTTGGGTTTATTTGGTCGACTGTGAATAGGTGTGAGCCACAATGAACCCTTGCGGGTTGCAGTGGAGGTTCGAATAGGCCCACTCACTTTGGACCTAACCTAACCTCCTGCAGTTTCGTCCTATACATTAAACTTAAAATTTTAACCTAAAATTCAATTTTTAAGTTTGAAAATGCCCTTATTTTTTTCTGTGTATGTCACGGGTTGTTCTAGCTATAGTTACCGAACTATCCACTAATTACCAGATACTCTGTTCACCTTCTATAGCAGAGGAGCCCACGATGCAAAATAAAGAATTCACTCGAGCGTCATTGAGACATTAGGTTGCAAAGCTCAGATGATAAGAAGAAAAAAATGTTTTATAATATATACCTTTTCATCGGTGGGGGAAGCGGCTATAGATTTTTGAATATGTAAAATAATACTGTTGCATGGACATACTCGAGCGCGTCAGATATTGATAGCATCAATGTCCTACGTATTTTTAATAATGTTAGTATGATATAAATCCTTTTCAAACCGGAAATTTCTTATTGAAGTGAAAAAGATACTAATTGATCTGTGTCCCTACTCCCTAGAAGATTATTATGACTCAGTTTTTTAAAGAACAACCTGTGAACATGTATTATTTCACTATCTTATGTTAATTGTATTTTGTCTGCAATCCTTGTTATGCATGTACATAATTTATTTTATTTCATCAATTCACTCACTATACTTTGTTGTATGTCTATATGTTTTTTGACTTGTCCTATAGCTGCATTTGCTCGAATGGATAAATAAAGAATTGAATTGAATTGATTGAATTGTTAATCTGATCGTTTGCATGATGTGTGTGGTTGTACGTGAGGGTTGAAAGTGAAAAAAAAATTCAATCCAGCGCGTCAGATTTTCTAAGGGGGTGTTGAGTGCGACAAAAAAAGTTCTCATTCAATAATCTGACGATTCCGATCTGACGCAAACTCGCGGCCATTATTATAATGTGCAAAAAAAATTCGCCATTTTGGAATACTCAAGCGCATCAGATTGATGCGCTTGAGTATGGTTCATATTTATGTTTTAGACGTGATGTCTCATAATATAACGATTATCTAGAGGGATTCGCTCAATCTGACCAAAACAATATTTTTTTATTTTTTGAACTCACAGCACACATTGAACTCAATGTGTGCTGTGATCAGCTGTGATGGCGTCATGGCAACAGAATTCAGAGTGGGGACGGAGTAAGAGAGTATTAGCTAGAGAAAAAGTGAATAGGGAATACAGGAATAGAAACTCGGAGAGGGAAATATAGGTATCACACAGCTGCACGCAATCAACTTTATCGACGAATTTTTGTTATTTCGGCTTGCGGAAATCGCCAGATTATATATTTTTCGTTATCCTCGAATTATTTCCTTCAAAATAATAAAAAATTAGCTACGCCCGAGAATGTCGAAATGACGCTATTTTTTCACAACTTTGCTGCCCTCCCCTTTCTTTACGTCACTCTCAAATTGTCAGATTACTGGAATATACACTTTTCAGCAGGTAATTAACTCACCCTACCCTAATCTGACGCGCTCGAGAATTTCTGATGATCAATTTTTTAGTTGCCATCACAAGTCGGAACATTGGAGTTCTTCATTATACATGTGTTTGCAGATATATTCAACTAACACTTTTTTGTGAGATTTTATGTGGAAACGCACAAAAAATAAAATTTGTCTTTATTACTCAAAAGTACCAAATGTATGTTCACAAATTACACATTTCAGTTTAATCAATATAAGTTTCTTATTATTCTTGGAAGTAAATTTTAACTTCCTCGAAACGGAAGTTGGGGATTTGTTCCCATAGCTTGTCAAATTTAATAAATCTATCCAATGGATAGTCCACAGAGTAATTGTCAATGAAATTAACTTCAATGTTGTTAGTTCTTTGAAGTGGTCGACCGTCAAATGGATATATCGCGAAAAATAGTTGATAGGATGTTCCACCTGGGCTGCCTCTAGGTAGAACGAATCTGCAAAATAAAATATGTTATGTACAATCAGATTAGATGTAATCAAATGTTCATGAAAGCTTAATATGTATTTTTCGAATACTCATATAATCCCCTTTTTTCCAGAATATCAATAATATAATCTCAAAACACCAGCTGGCCCCGGTTATAAACATACAATTTACTATCTTGTGCAAAATAAGCTGCAAATTGTCAATACTTTATTGAAATGCGTTAAGTAAAATTTGTATTTCCAATTGTCATTTTCAATTCGTACGAGTATATATTCATGATTGTGTTTTATATTGTGTTTTGTATCACTCTCACACATATATCATAATAAAGGTCACAGACATAAAAAATTATTCTCAATTTTGCAACTTCGAATCTAGAGTTTTTCAAGGTCTCTTAATTGAATCTTATTTTAGATAGATAGCCAGTTTTTACCCAATATTTGCAAAAAAATTGTTGAAGTAATTTGATTTGTTTTTATCATCGAAAATTTTTTGGCCATTATCATCTATACTGTTATATTTGTCTTGACATTTCGAGTTGCTGTTGGTCATTTCATTCATATTTTGCCAAATTTTTCTATAATTTTTTCGAGCATCGTGAATTTTATGCATATAATAATCATTTTTTGTGTTTTTTTCTTGTTCAAGAAATGATTTTAGTTTATTGTGATTTATATAAGTGTTCGTATATTCAGCGTTGGTGTTGTTATCGTTTATAGTATAAGGGAAACAGACTTCGTTTTTATTATAATCATAATAGTATGGTGATCAGTTAGATTAGTTCTGTAAATGTACGATTCAAATGTGATTTTTCCGAAAGTTTGTTTTCCTGATACTTTTACGTAAATACTCGGGTAGGCTTATTGATGTAGGAGAAATATCCCTGTTGGTTAGTATTAGTGTCCGAGGTGTTTAATATATTTATGTTGATGTCACCCATGAAAATGTGTACGTCAACTCCTTTTTGTTTCACTATAGGTAATCACAGGAGGCACTCTACTAGTTATATTGTGCACTTTTTCAAACTTCTCTGCACCGTATCACTGGTTAAAACGTGTTAAAAGACTATCTACCTCGAAGCATGCCTAAATTTCAAATGTACACTTCGAATCTTTCGGCTATATACAGATGATACACAATTATCAATCAAAAGTATTATGCCATAGTAGTCTCTCTTACCACGTGATCTGCCCGAGTTGCCAGAGACTGTGCTGTAGTATTGAAGGATTCTCTGCGGGCATCGGATTAGTTATAATAAACGGTTGGAAATTGATATTGTGTTTAGTTTATTCGCTGTTGTTATTATTGTTTTTAGTTTTTGTAGTTGGTTATTGTTGTTTGTTTCATGGTAAAAGGTAGAAATTGGCTCCGCACTTTGTTTCGAGGTCACCGAGATTATCAAAACAGAGTGTGTGTGAAAGACATCATCGAAATTTTGAAATCGCTTGAAGGTCCTATTGATGCCATTATGTGTGAAATATAACATCTTTCAAATGTCCACTACGGCTTCTCTGGATGAAGCGCAATCAAAACGTCTAATTTTCCATGACACTGGCGCATAAATCAGGCTGAATTTGACCGATGGCATGGGTAATGTTGGCTTTGAAAACCGCTGTGGTTTGTGGCTTATTCGCATACACCTGCAACCTAAGAAAACCACACAAGATAAAGTCTAAAGGGGTCAAATTGCACGATCTGTGTGGCCAGTTCACATCACTTCCACATAAGATGACCATGCCCTCGAATCGCTCCTGCAGAATATCCTGTTAAAACCACATTTCCTTGGTGTCCAGATTTTCCAATTCAGCTCAAATGGAATTGGTAATCATTGACCTATAGTGCTCGCCGTTGACAGTGATAGCCTGGCCAATGTCGTTCTCAAAGAAATATAATGCCGCCAGTCCAGAATCCACACCAAAAAGTTACTTTTTTTTTTTTGGATGTATTGGACGCTCTTGTATCTCATGCAGAATGGGACAGGGACTTGTGTTCTCTGAATGGGCTTGTCTATGGTCGTTAGATCATTTGAATTTTGTACGGGTACAGATCCAACTCAGAAAAAGTACTTTCGAAACAACTACTTCCATAATATGAACACCCTTTTGACTATCCACCTTTTTTCTATCCAGTTTGTACTCCAACCATTTGTTATGAAATCGAATCAAATATAATCCATTTATATAAAACACTGTCATAGTCAGGTGCGGACATCGGACTTTCAGCACCAATCTTGATGACTTCACAAGATGAAGCACTCAGTTCATACAGTACATTACGACTTCTTGTCACGGATGACTTAAATTTATTTCCTTGTTAATTGTATGATGAGTTTTGAGGCCACTTACTGCTACTTCTTCCATTACACAGATGTAAAATAATGCAAGGTTCAGTATTATCTCTGAAGAAGCTGTGGTAACATTCAAAACAATTTTTATAAAGACAAGTCTATTATGTCCAGTTATATTATTGTCAGAGAAAATGTAGTATTTATCTTACAATTTGTTGAAGAATCACTGACAATCATAGTATGCAATGTTACAACTGAAAAACAAACATAATTCAACACTTACCTTTGTGGATATCCGTACAAATTTTGTCTCAGATCAACAGTGAAATTTCTCTCACCTTTGAGAGCCACTTCCACATTTTTGTATAATTCGGAGAAAGATACTTTATCAGGAACATAGAACTCGTTGTCCGAAGACTTGCGACTGATGATATTGTCTCCAGATTTGAGATCGGCGGTGAAATGGTCCAAAAGGACGAAGTTAAGACGGCCTTGGCAGAGTCCAATAGAACGTCCTTTACTGTCATATTTCGGCCCCAACAACACCTTAACGCTGGCTTTCTGCGGCTTGTCCGATTTGACGTTGAGTTTGATCTCAAACGGAGCATGGTTGAGACGATTCTGTCTAATTCGCACGAGGAAGTCACCGTAGGGTTCGTTCGGTTTGTAGAAGACAGAGTTGATCAAATCGGAGTAGAAAGGTTCGTTGAAGGTAATGAGAGGATCCACTTTGACTTTGGTTATCTCCACTCCTGGGAACAAAAGTTGGGTTTCTGTGTAAGGCGGTATGCGAGACAGATATCTCTGGAATGGTACTACAACGAGTTTCTTAATGAGTTTGTAGAACACTGGATCACGCAATGAGGTTTCGTAGTGTTCTAGTGCGGATGGAACTAGTTTGTTCTGGTCACAGGTCTGGATGGAATAACCAAGAAGATATCGTGCGAAGAACCATATGGGTCCGTAATAACGGGAATTCGGTGAATCCCGATTGGTTTCGATTAGGTTTCCAAGGACGTTCAAGAATTCATCGGACTGCACTTTCACAAACTTGTTTTCCGATTCCTAGAAAATGAAAGAGAGAAGTTGGTTTTTAACAACATTCAAAACCTCAAATTTTTCATGGTATTCATTTCTGAGCATGAGAAATTGTTTTCATATCAATTTGAAATCATGAAACTAGTTTCCAATTCAGTCGTTAGAAACAAAATTCAATAAAAGAAAATGGTTCAATTCTACGTGGTGGTTGAACAGCTAAATCTTGAATACATCAATTATATAGTTTTTTATATACAGTGCGTCCATGAAGTAATATATAAACAAGAATATTGCTTTTTTATTTTGACTCACTCAATGATTCAATATACTGAGTGTCCTACCTTCGAGTAATAACTTCATCATCGTTCTTTTTATACTATTTGATTTTAATTTTCCAAGTTATCTTGACAAACTGTTAAAAAAATCTGTTTAAAATTTGTTTCTCCATTAGTCAGCTGTCGCCCCCATACGAACGACAACTCTTAGAAGTTGAGAAACTTGTGCGAGCTTAGGACTAACAAGGTCTTACCTTTTAACGTGTTATTCCTAACACGGTTACAGAATCATCCTAGCTTCAACCAGATAAATTCTGTCAAGAAAAATATCTGGTCGAGGCGGAAATCGAACCCACAGCCTTCCGATAGTGAGTCGGGCGCACTACCACCGCGGCCAATTCAACACAACTGATTAGAAGCATGTATTATAATTATGTAATTAATAGGTTACACGATACTCGAAATGATACATGACAAATGTATTTATCAAAAATAATGAATTAAATTATATTACTATGAAGCTACTAGATACACTCACAAAAACAGAAGCAAAGTCACAGTAAATATTCAAAGGGTTTTCCAATGACCGCCAGACTATGACCTACGCAGGCACTGAATTCGTTTCTATGTCCTGTAGTTTTTCCCGGATTCAGTCTTTCACCTTAAAACTAAGTCTAATGAGAAAATATCAGGTGAAGTAGTGGGCTGAACAATCATTGTTCTTTTTATCCACGTATCTGGAAAGGTTCTGTTTACGAACTTGCGTTCATTTGCAGCGAAATATAGAAGTATTTTATTCTATTGAAACTGAATTCTGCGGTCTAAAGTATTGACTATTTGAAACTGGGGAAAACGCTGGGTCACATCAGAAATTGATATATTTCTTAAGAAATCCAGGTATGATTTTAGGTCGAATTTGACATTTGGTAGTGTAGGCGTTGCTTGCGGTACTTTTCCAACCCTTCTGAAAATAAACCGTGGTTATTTCTATCATTTTGGGTTCATTATATACTCGATGAATTCATTCGAAGCTGTCTTCAACCATTGTTGTGGAATTGGCCGCGGTGGTAGTGCGCCCGATCCACGATCGAAAGGCTGTGGGTTCGATTCCCGCGTCCACCATATATCTTCTCGACAGAATGTATCTGGTTGAAGCTGGAATAATTATGCAATCGTGTTAGGAATCACACGTTAAAAGGTAAGACCTCGTTAGTCTTTAGCTCGCACAAGTTTCTCAACTTCTGAGGATTGTCATTCGTATGGGGGCGACAACTGATTAACGGAAAAACGGATTTTAAACAGATTTCATGAACAAGATGTATTTTATGCATACGAAAAATAATGTGAGTTTTCAATTTTCTCAAAAATATTTTTCATTAATCAATTACTATTCTGTCCCCTTCGGAGTTACGTTAGGTTAGGTCTAAGGTGAGTGGGTCTATTCGACCCACCACCGCAACCCGCAAGGGTTTATTGTGGCTCACACCTATTCACAGTCGACCAAATAAACCCAGCTTCTTAACGAAGCCGATTGGTTTGTATGGTGAGTGGTCTTCCAGGTCAGATGGTGAGAGTACGGATCTGCTGAACTCTAAGAACCTGATTCGGTGCCCAGCGGGGCAGGTACAAAGTATATGCTCTGCTGTTTCATCATTTTCCAAACAGAGGCGACACACACAGTCTTCAGACAGTCGAAGTCTCTGCATATAATGATTCAAATGACAGTGACCAGTAAGAAGGCCTGTTAGAGATCGTAGTTCATCTCTACTGTAGTCCAACAACTGTTTGGGATCAAGCTTCCAAGGGTGGATAAACGCCTTGGAGTGAGCCAATCCTGGAAGATTCTTCCAGAAGTCCATAAGTCTCCTTTCCATTCAGGTGTTCAATGTTCGTTCGGCAAAGCCCGAAGCGATGCCAATGACAGGTTCTGGTTCGATGAAGGCGCTTGCAGCACCCTACTTTGCAATAGAGTCAGCAGCTTCAGTACCTTCCAGGCTAGTATGGCCAGGAATCCAGACCAGAGACAATCTGTTAAGTCTTTCTATCGAGGAGAGTCGTTTTTGGCAATTTGCTACCAATTTGGACGTTGCTCGGTAGGAGCCAAGAGCTTCCAACGGCGCTTGACTGTCCAAGAATATTTTTATTGACTTGTGTGTGAGGTTGGATTCATCCAATCTCTCCGCACACAATTCAATAGCGTAAATTTCCAATTGAAATACAGTCGCATAAGTTTCTAGGCAGGTAGATATCTCTGTCCTGGGTTTGTGACTAAAATCTCCTGCACCAGAACCGGAAGGTGTTTTTTATCCATCTGTGAACCAACAACTAACTGCTCTTAATATTTCCTTCTCGCGGAGAATCCAGTCCTCTCTACTCGGGAATAGTACTTTATAAGGCAGTTCGTGGTTGACAGTTGCAGGCATAAAGTCAGAGGTCATTTCCAGAATGCTGTGACTTCCAGTGTCAACCAACAGTCTGTTGCACTGTGCATTTAATTGATTTGTGCAATTGGCAATGTGTACAAGTCTGTATGCAGTCCATCTAGCCTCTCTCTCTCCAGAAAAATGTGGAGAGGAGGTAGATCTAGAAGGATCTCCATGGCCGCTGACGGTGTGGTACTGATGGCACCAGTGATAGCCAGACAAGCCTTTCTCTGTAAGCCAGAGAGCTTCGCTTGGGCCCCTTCGGAGTAATCTCTCATAGAAATAATACCCTTGTGCCATCATTTTCTCCAATCCTCGAAACAGTTCTGATATGCACTTTTTGGTATGTCCTTGAGCTCTCTCAGCGATTTGGTTTATATCGCCTCAATCTTCTCAAGACACCGTACTTTCATGGGTCCTCTTCAACCTTGGAAACAGGAAAAAGTCGCGGGTGGCAAAAACTGCTGAATACGTTGGCTGAGGCATGATTGCTGTTTTGTTGGTCTATCTGCTGATTGAGAAAAGTGCTTGTTTTGAATTTGAAGTTACGTAATCAAAACAGTTTATATCGTCAAACAAAAGACCATTGCACATTATTCAAGGAACGATATATTACGTATGATGTTTGTGAACGCCGATATACGTATAACAGGAAGAGAAATATCATCAAATTTCATAACAAGAATCAAACGGAAAAGGCCATCATAAATATTTCCAATTGTTGTTATTCAATTCAATTCCAAATAGTTTGAATTTAAGTTGATGACATTTGAACAACTATTCCAAGAAACAGCTCATAAATTAGTGTAACGTGGAGGTATTTATATTTCTATATCTCATCATCATCTAATAACTCTTGTTATTGAATGAGGAGTTTTTGAAAAATTTTATTTTTTTCTAGTCTTCACTTTTCGGGTCCATGTCAGGTCAATGTTGAAGTTTGGTATTTGAGAATATATTTTGAAGTAGAAATTTTTTTCATTCAGTGGAAAATTCATAATAAAATATTAATTAATTACATAATCATGTATTTTCAAGTATCGGCCAACTCCATCACATATTGAAAGATAAGTGAAAAAATCAAACAATACACGGTAGAGTGAATAAAAACTGATGAATGAAGTTAGACACCGCAGTTATTCACTATTCAGTTAATTCATGTAGCTGTAATAACAATACAAAATTTCATTTAATTTTTTTCATTATGCTTATTCTTTATCATTTCATTAACAACCTATAATTTTGATATTATTGCCCATCATGCAGCAACTTCTGAAAAATGTTTGGAGTCACTTTTTTTTAAAAATGAGAAAAATATTGATGCCCTATCATCAGAAGGTATACTATTCAATATATTCAATTATATTTTATTTTATTTTTAACACCTTGACACGTGTTTCAATCACCAAGTGATCGTCTTCAAGAGGAAAATTAAACTAGATCTACATGCACTGTTGTCCTTATTTATACCATAGACAACTCTGCTTGATACCTGCGTCTTGAATGCCTTCAAATTAATTTCACATGTTGCCTCATCTGCTAGTCAGATTCACCTAGTCAGGTAAATCTGAACTAAAAATATTATTTCAACAAGCTATATAGTAAACTATACACGTGTCGAGGTGTTGAAAATAACGATTTGGTGTTGGCATAAAACTACAGTAATATGTATTTAATTATTGTTTCATAAAATAGTAAATTTAAAATAAATGTATATGTCACTTTATGTCAACTCAAACAGAAAATCAATTACATATACTTACACTCCATATTGCGCCACTTTCAATGGCATCAGCAATTCGTCTTTCGAAGTCATTCACTAAACTATAGCTGAATCCAGCAAAGTTCTGAGTCCACCTAGACTGTCCATAATTATAGAAGTATTCATGCAATTTGGCAAACTTGGGTCTACTAGGGAAGGGGATTCCGTTGGGATATTCCAGATTCGAGGTGAATGGGGTGGTTACCGGCAAATCCCAGTTAAGGTATTCGTTATCATCTAGTCCCAATGGGATACGTTCCAATTGATAACGGGCCCAAATGTACTGGTAAAACAAGTAGAACAGGCGACCTCTGAGTAGAGTGAAGCTCCATCCGAACTCTGTACCGTTCATCCAGAACGGCAAGTGGTTGTGAAAGTCGCGGAAGAAGGAATTCACACCAACATCTTCCAGATAGTAAGCCAGAGAAGATTGTTCATCGTCTTGGTTCAAATAATTACTGGAATAATCAGAATCGATTGTATATCCCTTGTATCCATTACTTTGATTGTTCGTGTTCGAGTCGTGAATTTGCTTATAATATTTCGCCTTGTTGATAACATCAGCACTGAAGAACAGATGAGGAGTGATTTCTTAGAGTGGTGGAAGCATGACTTCTTTGGTATCGGAACGGTGAACCACTGCTACATAGAGAGAATAAACGAACAAACCCTCATTAACATTTTGTCGGGCCCACGAAGCTGTTTTGTAAAATATTTCGTAATCCTTGGCGAAGAACAACAATCTACTCAGAGCTATAGCTTGTTGTAAATGGTTCACTTCAAAAATTGAAAAAATCGCTCCTTTGGCAAGGGGGCCGTATCTCCAGTACTTGTGGAATTCCTCGATAACTCCTTCTTTCTGCAATGTAGAAAATTAGCTCCGTAAATAATTTCTCAGTTAAATGTGAGAAATGAAAATGAAAGACTCAGGTTTAGGAAAAGTAGCAGAATTCAAAAAATCGTGTTTCGTCTCTATTTAGTAAGATTTTATTTCATAATAACATTAGGTGACTATAATGTTGAGGAAAAAACTAATACTATCAAAGTTTCAGAATGTGCGATTGTGTGCGATCTATTATGTCCATGTTTGAAGTCACGGCGAATTATGTCATCTACTGTGATCGAACAAACCATGTTGATTGTCATGTTTCATTTTGGATGCACCTGTAGCTTTCAAGGCAATATCATCGATCAGATTTTGGTCAATCACAAAGGCTATACAAAAAGTAACCAAAATATTAACGCCAGGTTATTTAAATCAAAAGTGAGTGGGTCTATTCGACCCTTAACCGCAACCCGCAAAGGTTTATTGTGGCTCACACCTATTCACACTCGACCAAATGAACCCAGCTTCTTAACGAAGCCGATTAGTTCGTATAGTGAGTGGTCTTTCAGGTCTTTCAGTACGGCTCTGCTAAACTCTGCCCTAGCGCATACTTTGAGCCTGTCCTTGACTATGGGTTAATGGACTGATACCTATCAGAAAACAACTACTCCCCTGGCTGATACCACGAAGGGCGTTGGATTATATCCGAAGGGTGTTAGTTCAGGATTCTGAAGTTATTCCTGCATATGCTGTTGGCGATGCAACTGCCGCAATAATTGAAAGGAGAGTAGTTATTTTCTGATAGATGTCAGTGCATTAACCTACAATGTAGGGAGTTGAAACTGGGCTGAACGAAGGGTTCCTTTAGATGATTTGATTTATAGCCAGTCTTCAAGTATGCCCACTGACTATATGTGAAAAGTTTTCTTTCCTTATACGAGGAATTGGGCAAATTTCAGATATTCGGTTGATTACCTCGTTCACAGGCAGATAGGGTGATGACAAATCCGTTTTTTGTTTTCCGCTTCAGCCTAGTTCAAAGAATGATACTCTGAAGGAATTCGATTTTCAATTATCAGAAATAATCGACTTTATGTTGATGACACTGACGAGTGGCCAAAGAGCCCGAAACCGGTCTGCAAGTGTGTTCCAATAATTGAAAATCTATTGCGGCAGTTTTATCGCCAACAGCATATGCAGGAATAATTGCAGTGATACCTGTCGGATATAATCCAACGCCCTTCGTGGTATTAGTCAGGGGAGTAGTTGTTTTCTGATAGGTGTCAGTCTATTACCCTACAGCGTAGGGAGTTGGGACTGGCTTAAACGAATTGTTCCTTTAAATGATTTGATTTACAGCGAGTCTTCAATTATGCCCACTGAATATATGTGAAAAGATCTAAAAGTGTTACTGAATGGTCAGTCAAATAATAAACTATTCAATTTTCTGAAAGACATTAGTTTCCTACATAAAATATGAGTTACAAGTTACTTCTGGTTCACTTATTGTAACCCCTGGAGGTTGAGGCTTAAATAAAAAAAATATAAAAGTTCTATGAAATAATGAAAAATGTAGAAACTACAAACCCTCGTGATGCAAGTCTCAAAGTATCCTTCGAAACTGTTTCCTTCCATAATATAATTTTCATTTAAATTGAAGGGGGTATAATTTCAGGAGAGAATGATTCTGGGGAAATTTTGTCTTTTTTGTTTGCTGTATTGTGTAGGAATCCTGTGAATGATATCTGATTCAATTCCATAACGAATGTTTAGAATACACTGAATAAAGAAAACTGTTTTTGAATAAACCAGTGTTCATATAAAAGTATTCATTTCGAAAGTATTTCATCTTTCGTGTAATTCAATGTTTATATAAAAGTAGTTATTTCAAGAGGACTTTTTCTTCGAGGTATTGTCTGAAAGTTATTATTTTGCATGATCTACACATCTTCGTATAGAGTTTATTTTAAAATGGATTGCTTTCTTCCTTCCTTTTGAAGATTCCAAAATTTGTTGTATAAAGATGAAAGAGTAGAAAGTCAAAACATTTTTTCCCATAATTTTCATGTTTTTTCCAATGAAACCCAGATATTGAAGGTGTGAAGTTTTCAAACTGATGTTGTGCATATAAATAGCCATAAAGATACCTATTGGGATAATCTGTATGTAATACAATAAGAAAAAAAGTTTTAATTTCCAAGTCCTTACCAAATAAAGGGTGATGTTTTGTGCACAAAATGGAGAGAAATTTTTCGCAATCTCGATATGTTCCGGTAATTCAGAATTTTGGTTCAGACGGTAGAGGAGGGTGAGGATCTGCTTCTGTTTTTCCAGGCAGGTTTTATCAGCTGAAACAAAATGAGGAATGAATAATGTACCATAAATTATGAAATATAATTTTATCTGCATGTACCTTTTCTGATATAGAGGTTTTTTATATTTTGTGGTATTTCCTTGGTATTTTGTTTATCATGATGTCCAGATTTCTCGTGGTGCCATGTCCACCCAGGATTACGATGACAAGGATTAATTCCGCCATGACCTGAAACTGAAACAACGGAAAACATAATTTGAAACTGATTGAAATTTCAACAATATTAGTTTCAGTTCTCCAAAGACAAATAAAATGTAATCTTTAATTTTCTATGAACGGAAAAATATTATTTTAGTTTTTCACCAAATATGGAATATCTACACATTTAGCATTTTGAGCCACGATTGCTCCTTGCCAAAATATTATCAGTATTACTCACAATACGTAGTACATATATACATACATTCTGATGTCTATAGAAAGTATTTCAAATAAATGTGATAATATTTATAATAGTGCTTCTCCGAGTGTATTTTCCCAAGTCCAAAATCACAAATTCATCACCGGGATCCTGGAAAAATTCACAACTGGAGGCTCCCAAAAGGATATCCAGAATAATTGTTCATGTTAGAAATGATAACATTATGAATGAAACCAATTTTATTTTGGTAAACTATATAAAAAAGTATAGTGAGAATTCTATTCCATAGTTTTTTTATATTCCCCATTCACTGATGAGTACAGAAACACTACTTGTATTAACATACGCACCGCCGAACGATATTATAATTTTTTTATCTGATCAATACCGTAGATTGCTGAGGAGAGTGGTGTGATGACTGCTACCGAGGACCTTCCAAATTATTTTCAGTTTTTAGTACATTATCTTTATCACTATTCCCTTTTTTTTTCAATAAAACCGTGCCACATAATTTTTTACTCATTTTATTTTCAATTTTTTAGTTTCTCCATTTTTATCAACCACAACGCCAAACATTTCCCGACACGATTCAAACTTTTACCTTAACTTGGGTGGTGTATTGCCAACGACGTATCATTTTAGCCACCCTAAGGCCACGTCTTCGACACGATACTAAATCATGTATATCAAGTTGACGAGACACGTTTCGAAATTTGCAAAACAAATGATTTCACAATTTGCCGCTATTTATTCGCTAATTAGTTGCGAAAGAAAATATTTTTTCGCCTATTTTTTCAAAAAAATACATGTCTCGCTAACTTGATATCAAGTTAGCGATACCACGTTTTAATTATGAAGTTTTCTAGAACTTTGACTAGACTATCGGTTTAGTATATTCATTCGCTAATTAGTTGCGGAAAAAAATATTTTTTCGCCCCTTTTTTTTAAAAAATACATGTTGTCTCGCTAACTTGATATCAAGTTAGAGATACCACTTTTTTATTATGAAGTTACAAAATCTTGAGTGAGAGATCCGCAGGCTTGTATTCCGATTCTCAGTTGACAAAGTTCTTTGTTTAGATTATTTTGGATTTGTACCTGTAGCTGCGGCCATTTTTGATTATCAATGACACAGAATCCATTAAATTGTGTTGTCATCATAACTAAATGTGTGTACCAAATATTAGATCAATCTGTCAATAGAAAGGGGGTTAAACTTTAATTACTCAAGAACAATTCGTTCAGGCCAGTCTCAACCCCCAACAAAATAGATTAATGGACTGACACCTATCAGAAAACAACTACTCCCCTGGCTAATACCACGACGGGCGTTGGATTATATCCGACAGGTGACAGTGCAGGATTCTTCACAGAAGTTATTCCTGCATATGCTGTTGGCGATACAACTGCCGCAATAGATTTTCAATTATTGGAACACACTTGCAGACCGGTTTCGGGCTGTTTGGCCACTCGTCAGTGCAAGGTAGTGTATATCATCAACATAAAGTCGATGATTTCCGACAATTGAAAATCGAAATCCGCCAGAGTATCATTCCTCGAACTAAGCTCTACTAAATTTGACCCAAACAAACAGGGCAAACTAAATTAAACCATTTATCAAAAATACCGTTCATTTGATCTGGCTGATAGTTTGGTTAACTTTATTTATATTTTGTTGAACGATCTGGGAAAAGTCCTCGGGAACGAAGTCGCTGGCAATATCTAGTCAAAAAATAAATATGAATCTCGCTAAATTATCGAGTAAGATACAGTACTATATTATGAGAAAATTCGACTCACCGCCATGTTCAAAACAAAGAAAGGTGCAGGAACCCACCAATAACACAAGGGAGATCTTCATGATCGTTGAACAAACCACTGAATCTGTGTACAGTAAAACTGAATCGCCTCTTATACTAAATTTTTTTCTCGGTGAGTATTTACGATCATCTCATCAACGCCCCTATTGCCAGGTTCTAAAAATATCGTAGTGTATCTACCATCAGGTTTTACATATAAGAGCAGGTTTTGCAACTTGCTTGATTTTGCTATCTTCACTAATGAAAAAGTTCTCGAGACCGGACGACAAGGGCGCACACAGAATTTCGAAAGGAGAATGTGAATTTTCGATATGTATCTCTAGATTGAATATGATAATATACATTAGGCGCCACTAGACGATTCTGATTTGATTTTATGATTTACTTAGTCTTAAAAATTTTTCATGTAATTACATGAAAAGGTGTAATTCTAATGCATTGCGTACCATTTTTGTATAATGGAAATATTCGTGTAATTTCTAATAATATGACGTATTTCACTTGACAAAAGAGGAAGCATTTCAACTTGTATTTTTGGCTACTCTGTTCAATGTTGAAAGTTTAATTCTGATGCCATATTTCAAATTTTCATTCGTATTTTGAGTACAACTGTACCTAATATATTTAATGGAACGATAGAATAAATCAGTTTTAAGATATTTTTACATTACATCTGCTGGTTCACAATATGCCAGTATGTCAATTCAGTCATCCGCAATTCTTATGTTTATGAATTTCCAGGGATTCCAAATAATTAAGTTTCCAACACTTGCTTGCATATAGTGCAAAAATTCTGTATAGTTTAGATTCAGGAATTTATGCATTCCAAAGAATGCAACCATCAATCTATTAGAATAATATTCTTGTGAACCACAATAGTGAACCACATCTGGGAACGGGACCTGGCACACATGCCTACCGGTGATCGACGCTGACTGCACGGCTGAATCTAAGGCATCGTCAGGTGTAGCTGACGTGCAAAAACCTTCATATGGGAAGGTTGTCATGAGCATCAAGGTGGAAATCTTGCAACTTGACTATCTGACTAGCTCATTAACAGAGCATATACTTTGTGCCTGCCCCACTGGTGACCGAATCAGGTCTTTAGAGTTCGGCAGAGCCGTACTCTTACCATCTGACCTGAAAAGCCACTCATCATACAAACTTATCGGCTTCGTTAAGAAGCTGGGTTTGTTTGGCCGAGTGAGAATAGGTGTGAGTCACAATAAACCCTTGCGGATTGCGGTGGAGGGTCGAATAAACCCACTCACTTTGAACCTAATCTAACCATATCCGTTATTTAAAAAAGAATTATTTTTTTAACACACTGTACAGAGTGGGCCAAATTGAAGAAAATTAAACACACATGTTTTGAAATACACTGCTTTTAGGTTTTTTCATGTAGACTTTGAAACACACACTTTGATCAAATAGGCTTTGGACGATAAAACTGAATGCAATTCTTTACTGGTAGCTGTCAAATTTTGATTTAAGCAGTAAAGACGGTCTTCAGTTAGTGACTTCTGTTCAATTTTCGAACACATTCACAATTTATTATAAGAATTATGAAAAATGGAATATGATAGTCTGTTTTATACAAACTGGGGCAAGTGCAGAAACAGAAAGCAATTTGTATCACGAGAGGTATCCAGAGACGAGACAACCTTTTAGAGACAACTCAATTGATGTTGGTCTATTTGAAAAGAAAAGACCAAAATTATATGAATCAAATAGGGATAATGAGTTGGAAGGAATAATCGTTTTTGGAGCTGTTGGAAATAATCCCAAAACGTCCACGCGAAATGTAAAAACATCAACAGGCCTACCAAGAACCAACGTTAGAAGGAAATAACACAAATTCAAGCCATACAGGACCAGAAGACTTCATCAATTCAGACCAGGAGATTTTGAACGCCGCATGGCTTTTTGCCAGTGGTTCTTGGAAAGTAGTAACCGAGTGCGTGATTTTTCCTCAAATTCTGAGCAGTACCGGCATTTTCAACTGCTACATCTCTTATACTTGGGCACAACAAAATCATCATTCTATTGTGAAGCAGAAAAGTCAAGAAAGATTTGGATTTATTGCGTGGGTAGGTGTTTTCAGGAATAGAATTATCGGCCCGTTCATTTATAATGGCACTCTCATTTTCAACAATACGGAGTTATCCCCTCACAACACTGCAATTGTCACTTTTTTGGTGCAAATTTTGGTAATAATTGGATAGCCAACCAAGGACCCAACCGTTGGCCGGCCAGGTCACCGGACCTAACGCCTATGGACTTTCACCTCTGGGGAAGCTTGAAAGATCTTATTTCTAAATTGCCGACCAATTCTGGATACGAATTGGAAACGGCAGTGTTGCAAAATGTTGCTTCACGTAAAAAAGTGCTTTGGAAATGTTCTCATAGAATCAAGAAATTTTTGACAGGAAAAAATTTACAGTAACATTTTCGAAAAACATGCTGTAAATCAGAAAGGATAATAGATATCAATACGCCGCATTCACCATTGAGTTTGTCATAAAATTTGACCCTGAGACACAGCCATCAGTGTTTATCTATCTAGTTTGAAAACAGGAGTTTCCGTTCGGAAGTATCCAATTTGGTCCACTCTGTACAAACAATGGGAGAGAAAAATTATATTTCACACGGCAGAGAAACAGATTTACCGCCTTAGCTAGTTTCATTGCCGAGAGGACCCGCGGCAATATATCTGTTAGTTTTCTGCCTAGTTATAAACAAATAACTATTTATAATGAAGAAAACAATATAAAAAACTTTGTTGGCGTTTTTTATCATTCAGTTGCCATCTCATTCAGTATTCACAAGACTATTTGTCTCGACTGCTTGAACTTGAGAATTAATATGATCATAATAGACGAAAGTCAGTTTTTAGCGAAATATGCAGAGAGAAAACTATTTCTCACTTAGAGATCAGAATAATATCGTAAAACATTACAGTTACAATTATGGAAGAAACAAAATCCAGCTTGTGTGCTGCGAAAAGTTCAAGTTTATTGCATAGAAATATACATACATGGTCACACATATCACATAATCTTCTATGTATATCACTATTGCTCTTTTATTCTTCTTTGAAATGAATTTTAACTTCCTCGAAACGGAAGTTGGGGATTTCTTCCCAAAGTTTGTCAAATTTGATGAATCTGTCCAAAGGATAGTCCACAGAGTAATTATTGATCAAATCAGCATCAACGTCATTGCTTCTGTGGAAGTGTTCCTTTGAATATGGATAAATTGCGAAGAAGAGTTGGTATGATGTTCCACCCACGCTGCCTTTGGGTAAACGCAATCTGTAAAATAAATAGTATATAAATACTAGCTAACCCGGCAAACGTTGTTTTGCACAAAAATTATTTCTATCGGAACAATAACATAATGATATCAATCCCTCAATGCTATAGTGTGTTCAATAAATTTGGTTAATTCATATTCAGCTAACACAAACAAACTGATGGTTTACCCACTCGAGAACGTGCCACGTATAATTAAGTGTCCGTGCTCAAATCTAAGCCCCAATCGGACATAGTTTTGTCTTGGCACTCATTAATAGTCATTGCAAATGCCAATCTGTAGCTATGATAGAGATTCGTGGAATTGATATAATTACACCTCAATAACTAATCGGGTGATGTTGCACAGCCGTGGTATATTCAAATCACGGAGTGATCCAACCTTCAGTTGTAAATTATGCAGTGGCATGCCTGGCAAATCCAATGAGTTCAAAAACTCTTTTGGATATTTCAGTTTCGGTTGCACCGTAAATTGTATCTACACTCAATGGATAAACAATAACAGTGGCCAAGTGAGAAGTGACACCGGTAGACTCCTGGCGGGAATCTGATCTATGATTGATCAGGGTTAAAAATAATTGAATTCAACTAACATGGCTATTCAAAGGTAGGGGTTGGTGACAGAAGGGTAAAAATTGAGGGTTATATGTACAACTCAACAGAGTGGTCTATGTAGAATCTTAGGAGCTCGTCCTCTTTTCGGACTATATTCGTTTAACCGGGAGCTAAAAACGTCAGGACGAATATCATCTAACTATTATGGTGGAGAAGAACTACATCAGACTTATTAGCTTGTATGAGCCTGAGGATGGGAATTAAATCGTTTCAATAGATTTGGCATTTCTCATTCCCGACAACGGATTCAACATCGGCAACGGCAACATCGAAGTCCCGTCAATACCGTAAAAGTTCCGGTAGTAATGGCAATAAAGCTCTCTTAGAGCCGCGTTATGTCGATGGATATAGACTCGCAGCAGGCCTGCACCTTGAGTCAGGAAACTTCATATCCATCATGCGACTGCGGTGGACTGAGCTGTTGAAGATACCACCCTGGCAGATCATAATGAACCCTTCCGGTTCTGACTTCAGCCCACTCGACCTGTGGAAAGCGAGGGTCAGGTGATTTGATACTCCGAGTTCTTCAATGTTGTTAAAGAAGACCCATGGTACCGCAGGAGTAAAGTATTCTCTGCGGCTTCTGTGTGGGCCTTCTGGTGAATGAGATCCAACTTGGCGGCAGAGTTGTGATCACTTCGTTCAGTGTCGAAAACTAAACCGAGTTCATCAGCCTGCTCGGTCGCGGATCATGCAGAGAAGGGGATGCGAACTCCTGATGACTGCAGGCTTCCTCCAGTACAATTCTGTCATGTAGATACTCCAAACTCGAAAGTTCACGGCTTCCCTGTTGTCGGGGAAAGTATAAACGTGGAACGGGATGCAAACATCTATGAAGATGCATATAACTTCTACCGAGTTCACTTCACTACTCCAAACGAGTAGATTGAAATTCGAACGGCAATATTATTATTAGTATAATGTTTATCATTATTCAAGATCAGACCGTTCAGATATTGTCCGATTTTTTCGAAAAATTATTTTGATTCCACATCAGTCAATTATTTTCCCAATTGGCATTATAAGAAATTGATCATTATCATATATCAGGAGAATTTCTTGAAAAAACAAAAATCCAACTTCCCATATCTGTTTGTTTCAAACCTTGAAATACTGAATGGTTTTGGTCCAAGTCTCAGGGAGAAAATTGTTTACTACTACTTGTAATTATTCATTACTACAATACTTGCCTTTGCGGAAATCCATACGAATTTTGCCTCAAATCGATATTGAAGTCTCGTTCGCCTTTTAGAGCTGCCTCAACATCGTCGTATATCTCGGTGAAAGATATCTTATCGGGAGCATAGAATCCGTTGTCTGATGATTTCCTAGTGATTAGATTGTCTCCAGGTTGAAGATCGATATTGAAATGGTCCAAAAGTACAAAGTTAAGACGGCCTTGGCTGACTCCGATAGAACGTCCCTTACTGTCATATTTTGGCCCCAACAACACCTTAACGCTGGCTTTTTGCGGCTTGTCCGATTTAACGTTGAGTTTGATTTCAAATGGAGCATGATTGAGACGATTCTGTCTAACTCGCACAAGGAAGTCACCGTAGGGTTCATTCGGTTTGTAGAAAACAGAGTTGATCAAATCGGAGTAGAAAGGTTCGTTGAAGGTAACGAGAGGATCCACTTTAACCTTGGTGATCTGCACTCCTGGGAAGAGCAAATCGTTCTCAGTGTAAGGTGGAATGCGAGCTAGATATCTCTGGAACGGTACCACCACGAGTTTCTTGATGAGTTGGTAGAAAACTGGGTCTCGCAGTGTGGTTTCATAATGTTCCAATACAGATGGGACAAGTTCGTTTTGATCAAAGGATTGAATGGAATAACCAAGTAAATGGCGAGCGAAGAACCATATTGGGCCGTAATAACGTGCATTTGGAGAATCACGATTGGTTTCAATGAGGTTGCCAAGGACATTTAGGAATTCATCGGACTTCACTTTCACAAACTTGCATTCTGCTTCCTGAAAATGAGAGAAGTAAATCTTGTTATCATCGATTGAGGGTGTGATGATATTTCTCAATTAGGTAACTTACTCGAACATTTCGGATGTCGTGCAAGGAAAAGAAATGAAAGTACCTACACGATTCTCTTAGAAAAATGGTGGATGAGATAATTCAATTCAGTTCATTTGAAAAATATCGTTGGTTGACCTTCTGTCAGGTTAGTTACTAGTATCCATTGTAATCAAGTCATTTTATGTTATTATTTCTATATATAACATCAAATTATCTTACCATCTTCATTTTTCTGTGGTACGAAACACGATCACATCAAATGTTGGAATATAAGATACATTCTGTTTCCCGCAGTACCTTCTCGGGGTTTATCAAAGGTGGACAACTAGTTCCTCTCTAACAGTCACTTGGAACTCTCTAGATTTTCGAATTGAGTTCCTCTCAGTTGGAAAATTGAAGAATGCATGCAGCCATTTTTCAATTTTCTCTATCACCTCTTTGGGAGTGGAAATTAATCTTGATAAAATGATTCTCTGAGATCTCTGTTTTTTTAATTGATCTGAATGAAATCATATAAGAAACAATTATTCACTGGTGAGAATTCTTCGAAATCATTCTAGTCACTTTCAATTGACGAGTTGTAAGAAACTAAAAATGAATTTTCTATCAGTCTGGGTTTTTTCATGTGTTACTCTTTATGGAAGGAGTATCAAAGAGCCAGAAGAATCTTCATTCGTAATATGACAGTGTATAGTATGTTTCAATGTTAGTCGTAGTTGTGTTCTATACCCTCTTTTCCTGTTTGTAACGGGGCATTATTACAACTCAATTTTTTTGCGAATGTTGATTTTTGATGTTATTTTCAATTATTGCATATATTTATCCATTTGTTCATCTGTATTTTCAATTTAATCAATAAATATCACTATCACTATTTTCCCGAAGGGTTAGCTAATGAAGCCCTGTCCGGATACATTCAGGACAGCGCGCCAGCAATAATAATTAATAACCACTCTCCACACAGAGAGGTAAGTGGTCATTGGGTCCAAAAATCATGTGCCCTGAGCAGATGCAACGAGCCAAGAATGACAGCTATCTGCATTTGTCCGGTCAAGATTTCTGCCTTCGTGCGGCATGATCTCAAAATCTGTTTAAAATTTGTTTAAATTATGTCTTTCCGTTAACCAGCTGTCGCACCCCTACGAACGACAACCCTCAGAAGTGGAAACATGTGAGAGCTAAGGATTAACGAGGTCTTACCTTCCTAACGTGTGATTCAATACTTCCATTATCCGTTGCAATCAAGTGGAATCTTATTTATTATTTTGTGTGTTACTTCAAAGTACTAAATTATTATCCGTCCTGAGATAAATAAAAAGAGTATACTTACACTCCATGTCGCGCCACTCTCGATAGCATCAGCAATTCGTCTCTCGAAGTCATTTACTAAACTATAGCTGAATCCAGCGAAGCTCTGAGTCCACCTAGACTGTCCGTAGTTGTAGAAGTATTCATGCAATTTGGCAAACTTTGGCCTGCTAGGGAAGGGGACTCCATTTGGATATTCCAGATTCGAGGTGTACGGAGTTGTTACCGGCAAATCCCAGTTGAAGTATTCGTTATCATCAAGTCCCAGTGGGATACGTTCCAATTGATAACGGGCCCAAATGTACTGGTAGAACGAGTAGAAAAGATGACCTCTGAAATGCGAGTAGTTCCATCCGAACTCTGTACCGTTCATCCAGAACGGTAAGTGGTTGTGGAAGTCGCGGAAGAAGGCATTCACTCCGATATCTTCCAGAAAGTATGCCAGAGATGATTGTTCGTCATCCAAGGTCAAATAGTTACTGGAATAATCCGATTCGATAGTGTATCCTTTGTATTTATTTTCTTGATTGTTCTTGCTAGAGTCGTGAATTTGTTTGTAGTATTTCGCCTTGTTGATTATATCGGCACTGAAGAACAGATGAGGAGTAATTTCATAGAGTGGTGGGAGCATGACTTCTTTGGTATCGGAACGGTGAACCACTGCTACATAGAGGGAATAGGTAAAGAGACCCTGGTTGACATTTTGACGGGCCCATACGCCAGTTTTGTAAAAGACTTCGTAGTCTCTGGCGAAGAACAGCAATCTGCTCAAAGCTACGGCTTGTTGCAAATGTTTCACGTCGAAAATAGTAAAAGTGGCTCCTCTATCTAGAGGACCGTATCTATAGTACTCGTAGAAGTCTTCAACAGCTTTTGAATTCTGTAACACGCAATTCAAAAATTAGCAGAATCTACATGGTGTTCTAGTGATTTACAAATGCAACAGAACTCACTTGAATGCTACAAAAACCTATATATTCGAGTAATGACCACACAAAATAGAAAACGTTCCAACTCTAACACTGTTGAAGGCTTGTTTTTAAATTTTCGAATCATCTAAATATTTTGAATTCCTGTCAGCAGAGAAGATTGAATAACATTTTGAAATAAGAAGGTTGTACTCATATTTGCTTTCATTTGAATCTTGAAAAGATGAATTTATGAGGTCCATTTCAAGAGCATATAGAAAAATACTAAACCCAATTCAGGCTTATCAACTCCACATAGTTAATTCAACATAAAACTTTGCAAATAATGTCAACGATATTTTCTTCATATCTCCAATCGAATGGATTCTCATTAAAAATAATTTTAGGGTATGTTCTGTTTTTAGGTGTGTTAGAATCAATTTGGTTTTTGATGTTTAGTCGATTCTGCCAGCTCCACCAATTATTATAAAAATAAATAGTAATTGACATGAATGAATACATTTTTCTGAAAGTAAAATATCTTTTGAGTCAAAGCTAATCAAATTGGTCATTTTGTGCATTGAAGCAAGAATCCTTAGTCTCAGATATAACATATATTAAGTACATTACCACCTTCAGACAAAAAAAGTCATATTTTTAACCTAACAGACACAAGTCAATTTGTTATGATTTATATCGTCTGTCCAGAATATTAGCTGCCTGTAATTCAAGAGCTGAGTAATCATATGAGCCCATCAACGTAGAGCTTGGAACCCTCAAAATAGAGTTTGTTCTACTCTATACTCTGCTAATTTACAATATTCACACGATGTTGTCACTTACCAAATAAAGGGTAGTGTTTTGAGAACCGAAAGGAGAGAAAGTGTTTGCAATCTCGATATGTTCCGATAACTCGGATTTTTGGTTCAGGCGGTAAAGGAGGCTAAGGATCTGCTTTTGTTTTTCCATGCAAGATCTATCAGCTGAAATCAAAAAGCAAAATATCAATGATGGAATTGTATCTCACATACTATAGAATATATTGATTTTTCTTCACATAAGACGAATTTTTAAATAAATGTAGAACCTGATCTACTATGCATAACCATATATTTCCTTAAGTGATTCTGAATTTGAAAAACCGAAAATAGTGGAATATTTTCATCAACTTCATCTTTACTCTATGAAAATCCGAGTGAAACAAATTTTTGTACGAACCTTTCTTTATGTACAGTTCTTTGATATGTTCGGGTATTTCTTCCTGGTTTCGCCTATTATGGTGTTCATATCTGTCATGATATCCTCCTCTTAACCCGGAATTTTTATGACAGGGCTCAATTCCATCATGACCTGAAACTGAGGAAATAAAAAAGGTGAAAGGAGTGGTTTCAAAATTATTTTCATATTGGAAAAATTCATCAACCAATTCAAATACCGTAATGCTGATTCGAACAACTTCAACTTAGTTGATTGATTGATTTTGATGTGTTGTTTTTCATTGGTTGAAGAAAATCATTGGTAATGATTCAGTTTCAACCATTTTATCATGATTTATAATATACTATAATACCCTTTTGGTTTTGAACGGTTAGCAAACATATACAGTGAGTAAAAGGAAAATGGAATAAATTCATTATTTCAGTTACGGTACATTTTAACAAAATCCCGAAACACGTCAAATTCAAATTATAATTTGACATACTTCAACGGGAAAATGCTACTCCTACCCTCAATCCCCGTCGAATGATAGGTACAATCCCCAATTTTTTAAATGGGAAGTATTGGCTAGTGATATTTCGTTTAAAAGGTCTCTCCATTCTCTATTCAAAATGTTATCGCTCTCAAGTTTATTGCAACAATCAAGATAAAATAAATTAAAATCATGTGGTTACCGAAATTTGATAAAATACAAAACAAATACAAAACCTATTGCCTTGTCAACTTGTTTTGTATGTTACAATATTAGTTGTCAGTATTTCAATTCAAGTTTAAAATTCGTTAACTTCAAGTCTGACAAAAGGTTAGATCAAGGGAAATGCATAAAATAACAGTTTCACAAATGACTGGTTACGGAGATAAAACCCGAACACAATAGGAAGTAGCTTGCCTATTTCATGAGAAATTTCCTAATTTACCGCCCATATCTTGAGCAACAATAAGTAAAATAGAGAAGCAGTTCGCGAACTTGGTCATGTGGAGCAGATAAAAAAGCAGCTGTCAACGCAATGAGTGATGAACTCAAATTAAATGTGATGCTTGAGTTCGAGGAAAACCCACATACATCGAGTAGACAGGCATCCACTACATTCAATGTTAGCCATACCTCGATAGTAACATATTAAAAGAAAATAAAATGCATCAGGAGCTCATGGATGACGATTTTTATAGAAGAACTTATTTTTGTGAGAAAATGATGGACATGTTGGATAACAATATCATCCAATTAGAAAACGTTATGTTTTCCGAGGTCATGCTAAACGGCAAAATTGCCACTACTGGTCAACGTAAAATCCTCACTGGATGAGAGAAGAACACACGCAATACCCTCAAAAGGTTATTGTTTGGGCAGGGATTGTAGGAAACCTTATCATTGGCCCCTTTTCCATTGAGGGCAACTTGAATGGCGATAATTATTTGGCACTACTTCAAAATGATGTCCTTCCAAGTTTAGCAAAATGTATATCCTGATCCAGGAAACTTACCAAGTTAATATCCGGCAATACCTCGTTACACTATTTCCCAATCGGTGGATAGGGAGGCGAGGATCGATTGAATTGCCAGCACGATCACCTGATCTTCCATCATTAGATTTCTTTTTATGGGAATGTTTACAAAACTAAACCTTCAGATTTGAATGACTTAAAAGAACGATTAACGCTTGCGATTAGGTCGGTCACGCCTGGTATGTTAAATTGTTAGAAGACAGTTTTATTCGAAATTAGGATATTGCCAAGACATTTGCGGTGAACATTTTGAACATCTTCTTCAACATCCATAGTTCTTTTTCGTATTCTACATTTCATTACGTTATGCGTTACATTTTAGTTTTTGAGTGTATTTTATCAAATTTCGGTAACCACATGATTTTAATTTATATTATCTTAATTGTTGCAATAAACTGGAAAGCGATAACATTTTTGAATAGAGAATTAAGAAACATTTCAAACGATATATACAAGCCTATACTTTCCATTTAAGAAATTGGGGGTTATACCTGTTATTCGACGGGGTTTGAAGGTATGGGTAACATTTTATCGTTGAAGTATGTCAAATTATAATGTACGTTTGACGTGTTTCGTTACAGTAAACGAAATAATGAATTTATTTCATTTTGCATTAAAACCTGTATGCATTTTTTTTCAGTCTCAGTGTCACATCTGCTAGAAATTTCTTTAACAGTCCAGAACGTTCGAGAGTATTCGAGAGCTTTCCACAACAATCTAAAACATCGAAACATCATGGAATGTTGTGGAATGTTCGTGAATAATCTGATAAGAGGCTATTCAAGAAACACTTCATTGTGAGGTTTACACAGAACAATTTGAAAACGCAACACGTGTTTTGCCATACAATAGCTTCTTCAAATAAGTCTATACTAACTAAAAATTTACATATTCAATGCTTTATGTATTTTTTACAATTATAAGTACCTGAACATTGAGTACCTGAGTTTTATTTACCCATTTAAATGTCAAAAATGTGTACTTGAGTTTGAGAATAAATCGACCTGCATTAACATAAGAAAATAATGTTGCAATGAACGAAATTGTCAGAGCTTATGAATCAGTTAATTACCAGTTTCCACACTTTAAAAATTATTCACTTACGGGAAGTTATTTCATTATATTTGGTCATTCAGTAAATGACCTCAATCCTTGAATTAACCTATTGCTAAACATTTGGAAGGCCAAAATTACAAAGAAGCTGCTGACAAATGCTTCACAACCCTGGAATATAATGTCAATATCTTCAACTACTTCAAAATGGCGGAACTTTTAATAATTGCCTGAATACATTGGCATTTAACTACATGAGGTTATAAGCTTGAGGTAGGTTCAGAAGACGCAAAATGGTTGCCTTGAACTTCTTGACATATGAACAGCCTATCCGATATTTCACGATGAATATTTTCAAACACAGTAACGTCAATATCTCTACAAATATTTATTATCCTCTGCCGTATATTCAATATTGCAGCAGGTTCAGTTTCGTATACCTTTTGCTTCAAATAGCCCAATAAAAAAGGCCAAGGGTGTCAAATCTGACGAGCAGGCTGGCCATTCTGTAGGACCTCGACGGCCAATCCAACGACCGGGAAAAGTGGTATCCAAATAGTTTCTTACTTGTCTGGAGTGATGTGGTGGTGCTCCATCTTGTTGGAATACCATATCCATATCGAATTCATTAGGATTCGCTTCAAATACAGTTCCCCTGTTAAATTTTGATCAATAAATAGAGGTCCTACAATATGGTTTCCTGCCCAAACGTTAATTTTTCCTGGATATTGGGTATGTGTTTCCTGGAAAACCTTATCGGGTTGTTGGAATTGCCATATGGCAGATAAAAAGAAATATAGAAATATCGTTATTAATGTGTTTGTCTTTAGGAAATTATTAAATGTTCCGCCATTTTGTAGTAGGTGAAGATATTGACTTCATATTCTAGGGTTGTGAAGTATTCGCCAGGAGACCCTCCTTTCCATTTAATTTTTTTTCCCAGATGGCGCCCAGTCGTCATTTTGAAAGTTTCATCTGTCAATTTCATGCATTAATTTCATCATCCCAACAATTTTTTGAGTTGACCCGTTCAAAAAATAAAAAGGGGGGGATTTTAAAGAAATGCACTATATGAGCTCTGAACCAGTGGGGTTGCTGAAGTCCTTGGTACGGAAATAGATTCAACAAAGCAAGGTTTGGCTCAGAACATTCACAGGGCTACTCAAGAACATTGTCCACTGAAAGGACACCTGAAAAAATAGGGCTGTATGATAGAGACCTCAACTGCAGAAAACGCAATGCAACTGCCATTGTGTCCAGGAGAATACAACTAACATTCAACAAGGGACTTCTGTAAACTGATGCAGTGAACAAGATTGTTGGAACGTGGTTATGAACCAGATGGAGAAAAAAAACTCAATAAGCATATGAGGATGCAGAGTTTTCCAGAGATTTGTAAAGAATAAACAAACCAGACGGCTCCCAAATACTGCAAAAATAGATGCGTTTTTTTTCTACAATTCCGATACCGGAATTCCTATTTCCATCGTTTTTATGCTTTATGATTATTCTTCCAATTGGTAATTTTCATAAGGTCACTGAATCTTTGGACTATTCAAATAAAAATCTTTGTCGAAGAATTATCCATAATGTCATTTTTCTAGATGTTTCTTCGGTATCGGTAATTCTAATTATTCTACTGATGCCAACTGGACACTAGAAAAACATCAATAAACAAATAATCTAGTCAAAACCAAAGTGAGTCTGTCACAGCTCAAATTTCCTTCATAAGACAAAAAGTCAGTCCCAAAAATCAATTCCAGTGAACTATAAATGTATACTTCTTACTGTTTTTTGAGTGTATAACTTTCCACAATATGGAGGAAGCAAGATACATTGACTACTCCAGAGAAAATGCAAAGAATATATATGATTCTATAATTTTATATATGCGTCCAGTGGTTTTCGTCTTCCAAACCGTATTTTTCATTATTGAAATATGTACAAAATATAACGTTAAATATTAAGGTATCCCGCGTTAAGTGAATTTTATTTAAAACTGACATGATTCTTATAATTTCACTCTCAGTTCCTGATATACGAGAAATATCTTGAACTTGACTTTCTATCGCTCTGGATTCTATTAATATCTGCACATGGTCAAGGATAAAGGTCAATAAACCTCATTGAAATGAAGTATTCCAATTCATCTGTCTATAAATAGATCTGTAAATAAATCTGTAAAATATGTCGACATGAATATGAGAATTTTGAGCTGCGATAATTTGTTTTGAAGCAGTGGATTTCTGAAGTACAGTTTAAGTAGGATTATGGTATTTTCGTTTTAAGACTATCAACTGGTGATATTTTACGTTAGTGAATAAAAGTGAAATCTAATGCAGACCTCTATTTTTTTCCATTTCCATAGCACCTTGAAAAATAATAATTTCATATGGGTATCTCTATGAAATTATAGGTATGAAAATATGGTATTGAAATATGTCGAACAATCTACCAAAACCAAACTTGGATTTCATGGTTTCCTTATATTTATTGGGAAAGGGATTCTCAATAATTAAATAGATCAGATTAAATATATGAGTTGTATCGTTCGTTACATAAGAAACCTTAGTGAAATTTCTGTAGTAACTATACATACGGCCACCTAATGAAAGCAAAAATATTTTCGAAAAATCGTTAAACCAAGCACTTGACATAGTGTCTGCTCCTCGTCTCCAGGTGGCGGATAGGGGAACGCCCAGGGGACTGGCCGTTCTGGTCTCCTAATGACCTGTTCACCTTCCTGCAAAGGACAGGATGGACGATGACCTAGGAGGACAACTCCTCGGGAGGATGTACAATGGGTCACAAGGGGCCTAAGTGCTTTGTGTCTACATTCACCCTCCCAATCCTACAGATACAGATAGTGTCTGCTTATTCTCACTTTGTTAATGTAAATCGTCAAAAAATTGATAGTAATACTAAGCTAGGTTATGTTTGTTGTCTGAGTCTACCTCAAACTATAATATCTTAGTGAACACTCGTGCAATTCAATCAAAATAAGCGCCATTTGAATCGGTGCACTTTTGCCAACGTAACACAAGTCGATTAATCTTGCAGGGTTTCTCCTACAACTATGTACTTAGTTTAGAAACATTTTATTCCTTTATTGATTTTTATTTAGTATCATAAATTTCTGTAAAGAAATTAACTTTCATAACTCTATTATCGAGCAGTCGTCCAAAATATCCATCTGCTTGGGTTTTTATGTTAATTCTTTTATTTTAATCTGTACTTATTATTTTCGACATTTCATATCACGTATCTTTGGAATTCTCTCTGAACGAAAGTTTATTGCCAAAAAACGGATGGATATTGAGAACGGACTGAACTGTTCACTTGACCCTCCGAGTGAAGGGCTAAGTGGTTGAACCTTCATGACTATATTTATGACCGAGATGATTGCCAGTTGTGATTTTTTCGGGAGTTACTTTGAACATAGTATAAAATCTTCATACTATGTTTCGAAGACATTTTTTAGCTGATGTATTCATTCTGTTCTAGGGTTTCGACCGGGAACTAAAAAAACCGCTCCGAAGTCTCTTCCCCTTAGCGTTAGTTTCACAAGATTACTCTGTAGTTTTTTGTTTCGTTTTTCGTTTGCCGTTTTGTTTTCGTTTTTAATGAATTCTATTATTGATACACGTTGTGTTCTCATGATTAATAATTCACCTATCACTAGTCCCAACAATCCTGTCATTGGGTGCACGGGATTCGATGAAGTCGACGAAAGACGTTTTTGCCTAGTCCTGATTGGCGAAGGGTCTACCGATGAGAAAGTTATCGAAGTGCCTGCAAATACGCGGTTCAGCCAAGTACGAAGATGGGAAAAATGAAAATATTTACTCTTTCGGTGCGAAATTTCTTGGTCTCATCATAGATGAGAATTCATTATTTACACTACTTATATTTTGGAACAATAAGAAAAAGTTATTATACCCCACATAATTACCAGTGATAACTACCTACTCAGGTACCTACTCATTCGATCATAATTACGTAGAGCATCTACTCAACTTTTATATACCTAAGGTACATCCTCAGTTATGATTACCTAGAGCATGTTATATCAATTCTACATCAATAATGATGTGTCTATGAATAATAGGACAACATTGGTTTCTAAGAAAACAAGTTCAGTGATGGCGATCTATTTAGATCCAGTTGGTCATTTAGCAAATTGTTTGAATTTTTGAGTTCAATAATTTCCATTGCTTCCAAATGATTCAGCTTCAAACTTTCATTTTCTATATGTGAAATTTCGAAATCTCCGTTAGAGATATGATTTTCTTCGAAAAGATGACTTGAACTTGTTTTTTTTTGCATATCTCATCGTACGATGTTCCTGGATGCGATTCCTAAATGTTCTGCCGGTTTGACCAACATATAGCTTAGAACAAGTTCAACAATTCAATTTGTACATTCCTTTCTTGTCGAATTTGAATGATTTGTCTCTCCCAACGTATTACCTGTTCTATACGAAATTTTAATATCTTGTTTATTCAATAATTAAGCCACTTTTTCTGTTGTTTGTCCAAAATATGATAGGTATAGCTCTAAAATTTTGGTTTTGATTATCTAACTTAACAATAGGAAAAACGTCCTGGATCGCTTTTGCGTAGACTTTTTTGGAAAGTATTGTGTCTATTATTTCAGCTTTAAATTCTATGAATCATACTATTATAAGATGCTATTTTGTATTAATATGAATGGGTAAAATCTTAATTATTAGTAATATCCGTGTGGAAAGGTTTGTGATAAATTGAAAAATCATGTTTGTTGTTCATTCCACTATTTGATTGAGTTTGAATTGTCTGCTTCTACTTCAATAGTGAATTCAATGTTTTCATTAATTTAACAAAATTCATGAACATTAAATTCACTATTATATTTATGGGTCTCTCAAGCTATATTCAATCATCTCATTTTTTCCAGTTTTTCTTTTTTGTTTTCTTATGTTCATACTTAGTTATATTATATTTTTGAATTATTTTTTTCTACTATGAACATATATTATTCTTGGGAAAATAAATCGACATTATCGTGATAACATCATGATGATGAATAAATAAACGTATATTCCTGAATGGTGTTTCAATATTGACTAAACGATGTAGTAATAATCAATAAAATTAATCATAATGATGGTGAGGAACATGTGTAATTAAAATTTTGTTTAGTTTTGAACACAGCTGAAATTGTATAGTGAAAATCTCAATGCCGTGTTACTTGGAAACGTTGAATTTGCATTGTATCTTGAAGAAAATATCATGAGCTTGATACTATCCAGAATTATAGAACAAAAGTTTAAAGGGATGTTCATATTTCAAACATATAGAACTACAACTTGCCAATCTTGAAGTCCTCATTCTAAAAATAGTTGCTTTTTTATTCTACCTTATGATCAGAATCGTCAGCTCAAATTTCATACCTTTTGAAAAACGTCATCTGATAATTTTTTATTATAGTTATACAGAGAACCCAAAATATATGTATAAGCTATAGGTACAAATCCTTCCCCCCATCTTTGTTTTTCACATAACACTTGCATCTGCACATCATATTTCAATACATCTACTTGGCAGGTATAAATGAAGAGATGTATCAATTCAATTCATTTTTTTATCAATTGAGAGTTATTATAAATTGATTTTCATATTCATTTTGCGAATGGAATAAAAGTCAATAATATTATAACAATACTCACCGCCATGTCCAAAAGTAACACAGATGTAAAAACCCACCAATAATAGTACTAAGGAGATCTTCATGTTTGTTTCTTGAAGAAACAGCTGAATCTGAGGACGGTGTCGAAAAATCTTCCTCTTATAGTAAACTTCTTTCCCGGTGAATAATGCCGATCACCTCATTAACATCTCTATTACCATGTTTTCAAAATATTGTCATACGATAAATAAAATAGCAGGTTCTGTAAATAATAGCAGGTTCTGCAACTTGGATGATAATGGTTTCTAGTTTTCATTTGAAAAAAGTTGCGAAGACCGGCTCTAGTTGTTTATTATGGACATTGCGGTTTGCAAATAACTAGTTAGAGATGAATTGTTCAATGGAATTTTCGTAAAAATCCAAAATCTGGATCCAAAGTCATCATGTCAAACTTCAAAAGTTTTCAAAAATTAGTCATATCTGGGTATTTTTATTTTCATCTCGCAAGTATTCTGTGGATTTGAAGTTGGAAATCAATGCACTCAAAAATGAATAACCCAATATTTATATACAGGGTGTAACTAAATAAGTGTAAAACATTTAAGGAGGTGATTCCTCATCAAAAAAAAAAGAATCTTTCATATAAAGAAACTTCATTGGAGCATCCCTTGTTAAGATACAGCCCCATAAAGGGGGTACATAAAATTTGTATAACAGTTTTTTGACAAGCACTAAAAAAGTTACAATATTGAAATCAACCTGACGTTTTCTATTACCCAAAAGACACTTAGCCAGAAATTTATTTGGTTTACCCCATGGATGTAAGGGGTGGAAAACGCAACCCTTAAAATTTA